GGGCAGCGGGGATGGGAGCAGCCGCGTGGCGCCAAGCGGGAGAGCTGGGAGATGAGGACGAGAGATGCTTCAAACTGGCCCTCATCTGAGGAGAGGAGCTGGGGACAGGGACGCTCTGCAGCCGGGCAGGAAGATTTGGGGACAGAAAAGCTCTACAAGGTTGGTCAGAGGAGCTGGGGACAAGGATGCTCTGCAGCAGGGATGCAGGGTTTGGGAACAGGGATGCTCTGCAGAGGGGATGCAGGACAGGGATGCTCTGCAGCGGGGATGCAGGATTTGGGGATGGGGACATTCAGCAGGGATGCAGGGTTTGGGAACGGGGATGCCCTGCAGCAGGGATGCAGGATTTAGGGACGGGGACGTTCTGCAGCGGGGACGCAGGATTTGGGGATGGGGATGCTCTGCAGAGGGGATGCAAGATTTGAGGGCAGGGATGCTCTGCAGCAGGGGCGCAGGATTTGGGGACAGGGATGCTCTGCAGAGGGGATGCAGGATGCCGGGACAGCGATGCCATGGAGAAGGCCAGGCCAGGATGCTCTGCCCCTTGCGAAGGCTCCGGTCCCGGGAGCCTCTCATCCTCTGTCCCCTCAGCCCCTGGATGTCACCAGGCCCTGGGACCCCGGCGCCCAGGGCTGCTCTGGCCTTGGGAGGCCGGGGCCCTGTCCCCAACCCAGCTCGTCCCCGTGCAGCGCAGCACAGAGCACAGCGGCGCTTTCCAGACAGCAACCGCCGAAACCAGCCGGGCAGCACCGCCCGGCCGGCCCCAAACACTCCCCGGGGCCACATGCTGCTCCATTTACTGGCCCGGAGCTGAGCTCACCGGCCGCCAGTTCCCCCTCGCCGGCCGCGCGGCGGGGACGGGGGCCGAGCGCGGCACGTGCCCTGCGTCCCCAAGGCTGGTGACTCCCGCATTCCTCGGCGCCGGGCACCCCTCTCCAGCAGGAAGGGTGGGGAGGCCGCTCCACCCTGCGGAGCCTCCGCCAGTGGCCAGAGCACCGGGCGCTTTGAAGCCCTCCAGGCTGAGCCTGGCCTAGAACAAGGCCGGGACTTCCTGGCCGGAGCGGTGACCGAGAGTGACACGGCCACCGCGGGGCCACCGGGCGCCTGCGCTTGGGCAGCGCCCGGGCCAGAGACCCAAGGGGACCTTGGTGGCACTTGGGCTTCCTGACTGCGTTGTAGGATGCCTGCAGTGCCAGGGCTGTGTATTACCGACACGAGCTTCCCAGTCCGGCAGTGCCCGGCTCCGTCACTCCTTGGAGACACAATAGCTGAAGGGAAGAGACAGGGAAGAGCTAACGAGAGGCTGTGACATCTCCCCGGTCGCGTTTATCCCCCCGGAGCAGCGCTGAGCTCAAGCGGAGTCCTCCGAGTCGTCTCCCTGCCCTGCTCGGTCCCACCTTTGCCGGCTCTCCTTATTTTTCGGCTGCTCTGGCAATTAATCAGAGCCACTCCCATGGGATCGTGGCCCTCAGCCCTGCTGGCCGCGGCGGCTGCCAGGCCCAGATCCCTGTATTGGCCTGAAATGTTTGCATCGAGCTCTGGTTTCTTTGCTCTGAGGCCACTGCAGAGCCCAGGGTGAAATCGAGGGGAGAAAACGACACTTCCAGAGCCAGCAGAGCTGTGGGGACAGTGACAGCCCCACGTCCCCGTGGGCAGCCCCGGCGAGCCAATGCCAAGGCCGTGTGCATTGGAAAAGAGCCCACGTGGTTCATGAGAGCCCTTCCCGAGCCTGGGAATACCGGCCTGCTCCGACGTGCTTCGGTGCTGACGCTGGCAGCTAAACCCAGGGCCTGGGGACACCCCTGTCCCCTCTGAGGACACAGGCTGCCTCTGCCACCTTTTCCTGCCAGACGTGGAGATACAGATGTTGGATCAGCTTCCCGTTCTCCCTTGGAGCACGAGGGACATGGGACAACAGCCTTTCGGACTACTCAGGTTCATGGAGCTACTCCCAGCCTGTGATCCCAAAGCAAGCAAATAATGAAAGACATCGAGCATTCCCTAAATAACTCCATTTATAAAAATTCAATCTAAGAAAATAGAAACTCTTAAGTTGCTGGGGAAACAGCGCTCGCTTCCTTGCACGGTTGAGCCAGGCCAGGGGCTGCACTTGCTTCGCTCAAAGCCTTCCGCTCCACCTGGGCACAGTATTTTTCCGGGATGCCGGAGGCTCTGCAAAGGGAAGAGACATCATCATGCAGCCTGTGCTGGGGCTTCAGGAGCCCTGGAGAAGACCTTGTTAGAAGAGGATGTGAAGGAACCTCCTGTTTCCCGGGAGGTTGGGAGAGAGAGGATGGCCAGGACGGGCTTCCTGGGATGCCGGGAAGGAGGGTATCTCACCTGAGCTCCTGGGATGGCCAGGACGGGCTTCCTGGGATGCCGGGAAGGAGAGTATCTTACCTGAGCTCCTGCATCTTCTGCCGCTTGAGCTCGGCGAGGCGCTCGCTGCGCTGCCGGGCCTCCTCCTGCAGCCGCCGGCCCCCCTCCACGGCG